AAAGTCAACTAGTTGTACGATGCAGCCGTCTCGAAATCGTCATGCGGTGCTCGGAACCCCACGTTCAGACGCACACAGTCTTCAAAAGCCGGCAGCAGTCCGAGGGCCTTACCTGGCTCGTAGTTCTGACTGCCAAGAACTTCGGGCTAAACACACCCTTTGACCTTGCAAGACCGCACACTCGTTCCCACACTCCAAAAGACTTACGGACAAAGCAACCGCTAAAGAAGACGATACTTCAGCAGACGAAGCTCTGCAACCCGTCATCTTCTATTTGAAAGATCGCGGGTTCGTCACACTGCCTGACCTTTGGTCCTTTCTGCATAATAACCGCATGGCTCCCCAGCCACGAACTCGCACGGCTTCTCAGCCACGAAACCGCATGGCTCCCCAGCCACGAACTCGCATGGCTCCCCAGCCACGAACTCGCACGGCTTCTCAGCCACGAAACCGCATGGCTCCCCAGCCACGAAACCGCATGGCTTCTCAGCCACGAACCCGCACGGCTTCCCAGTCACGCTGCTGTTCAGTCTCTTTGCGATCAAACCAAGGAGTCTACACCAAGGAGTCTACACCAAGGGGAAAAAAGAGTTCAAAGCCAACGCGCGTGAAATGTCTTTTTTGGAAACGAATGGTTCGCAGTCTGCGTCATCGCAAAGTCTTTTGATAAATTTTTGGGTGATTTCGTTTGCCTCTTGTTTAGAACTAGCTTTCATGCATTCTGGAGTGAGGACGACCCGTAGCTTGGTTCCGAAATCTGGAAGGATTTCGCGAAGGCTTTCATCCAAACTGACGTAAACCTGAGCGTATGAGCCGACGCAACATTTTTCGCTGTCGGGTATTTTTCCGGCAATGCCCTTCAGAAGTGAGCGCAGTTGATGCACGAGACTGTGACATTGCTTGTTAGTGAGTCGGTAGGTTTTGAGTAGATCTTGAAGTTGTATAAGACATCCACGTTCAAGTTGGGACTGGAGGTGTGCTTCGACACGGTGCTTTTTTCGCATGTAGCCCTGATGCCAAGGCTTCCAGGTTCTTTCGATGGGAATTTGGACGGTTTCATGACATCGTTCATTAGTGTCTGTACGCACGCGTTCAGCGGCAACGTTCATGATCTGTGACCAAGTCCGCCCCTCTGGGGTTCCGTCACTCGGTAGGATGCTGGCCGTCGGAGTACCGTCGCCAGACAAGCTGGCATCCACAAGACTGCGAATCCTTTGCGACGGCCGCAGGTCCGAAAGATTCCGTGGTTCACATTCCTGACAGAGTTTACCATCATGCGACCGAATTATTGCGACGTCGTGGAATGTACTCAGACCCAATCGAGGTCGGCAGACTCCTCGCCAATACTTGCCAGGTTGTGAACTCAACGCCTGGCAGGCAATACGCAGCTCCTTCTCAATCCCGTCCAGGGTTCTCGGCTCCTCCCCCAAACCCAATAAGTCCATTGTGAAAACCGTATTCCCGGCGTAACGCTTGCAAAGGGCTATTACCTCTACCGGGTACTCATGTTCGTCTGCGGATACAAAAGTAGCCAGCCGTGATAACATTTGTTCCGTCATACACGCCCGCGTTACCGCCACCGGTTCTTCGGGATATACCGAGTATGCCGGATCGATTACAACCTCCAATTCCATTCTTTTTTCCTTGAACTGGATTTGCTCCACTGATTTTAAACGCAGACGCAAGTCATTGCGCAACTTGTCCAAACACTGCAGGCCAATCGTCAGAAACATTGCAGGGGTCATACGATGCTCCAAACCCCAGTTTAAACGCACACAGCCTTCAAGAGTATCAGGCAGTCCGAGGGCCTTATCCTCACTCGGAGTTCTGGCTGCCGAGAACTTCGCGCTAAACACACCTTGACTCTCCATGACCGGACACTTGTCTCCGCAATCCAAAAGACTTAAGCCCAAAGCAACCCTCAAAGGGAACAACACTTCGCTGGAAGCCCTGCAACTCCACATAGTCCGCTGGAAATAAATTTAAATGTCTGTTCCCGTCCATTTGCGGCAGAAAGTCCGTGTTGGGGGTTAATGTCTGTAGTCGTTGAACTGATTAAAAACGATGTCCCCGTGTTTGTAACACACACGCGCGCGTGTTTGCATCTCATGCTCGATGTCGGGAAGGCGTACGAAAGACCTCCAGCTCTCTGCGGCTCAACATTAAATAATGTCCAGTTCTTCAACAAATTCTAATTTTGGGGCCAGTAGGCTGGATTATGTCACAGCCTGCATCCGCACGGAATTGGTCGATAAATTCCTCAGTGATTTCAGTCGCTTGTTCTTCGGAATTGGCCTGCATGCACCATGGATTAAGGACGATATGCAGTTCGGTGCCTGGGTTGCCTTTATCCAAACTGAGATACACTTGGCCGTAGGAGCCGACGCAGTAGTTCTGACCTCTGGGGTACTGTTCCTCTACGGAGAGCAAGCGCCGGCGAAGTTGGTACACGAGGTCGTCACATTGTGCGTAAGTGAGCCGGTACGTTTTGAGTAAGTCCCGAAGTTGTATGATACAGCCGCTTCTCAGTCGCTTCTGGAGCTCCATTTCAACGTTCGGTGCACGTCGTGTGCGTTCGACTCTCGGTGCACGTCGTGTGCGTTCGACTCTCGGTGCACGTCGTGTGCGTTCGACCCTCGTCTGGCCCACAGATTCAAAGGCTTCCTCTTTCAAAGGCTCACAGGTCATCGGTGTCGGGATCTTGATGGTCGTCACGCCTTTTGTTTCTGCGTCTACGGAAACCCGGGTTTCGGCATCCTCCGTAACCTGACACCAAGTGCGTCCCTGTGGCATTCCGTCGCCCGGTAGGATGCTAGTCAGAGGGGCTCCCTCCCCCACGAAGCTACGAATCCTCTTCGGCCACCGCAGGTCCGAGAGCTGTCGTGGCAGACATTCCTCGCAAAGTCTTTCTCGAAGCTCCGGGACCACCGAGACCCAGTGATCCTTGTTCTGACCCAGCCGCGGCCGGCACACGCCTCGCCAATACTTGCCAGGTTCGGGACTCAGCTTCTCATAGGCGGCCCGAAGCTCTGCCTCCACCGCGTCTAACGTCGTTCTCCGCTTCTCGCCCAAGTCCCCGGCAACCACCATGTTGTAATGCTTGAGAAGAGTTTCTGCCTCTGCCGGGTTCTCCTTTTCGTCTACCGCTGTCACGTGTCTTGCCAACTGGGACAACACCTGCTCCATCAAACACTCCCGCGTTACCGTTTCGTGTGCGTCGGAGTACTTCGTGTACGCCGGATCGATTACGACCTCAATTTCCGTGCTGCTTTTGCGGAACTGGATTTGCTCCGCTGAACATAGTCGAAGGTCGGGGTCACTACGTAGCTTGTCCAAACACTGCAGGCCAATCGTCAGAAACATTGCAGGGGTCATACGATGCTCCAAACCCCAGTTCAGACGCACACAGCCTTCAAGAGTATCAG